CTGTCTCCCTGCTGATTGGCCCTGTCTCCCCTGCAGCCATCTTTGAAATCCAAGCCAGCCTGGACCCCTCGCTCAGCCTCTTCTGCTCTGGCCCCTGGGAGCCCAGCACGGTGCCTGCCGGCACGGAGCACCTAGACCCCCTGCTGGAAGATGCCCCCAAGCACCTGCCCAGTCGCCCTAAGAAGGGCTTCACAGGTGGGCCTCCAACCCCACAGAGGGGTTCTCAGATGGGCCCTGGACAGAGCGCCGGCTCCAGGGCCAGAGGCCTGGGTTCTTCTGCAGACTTGCTGTGTGACCTGTAGTGAGTCCTGTCACCTCTCTTTTTCCATCCGGGAAGATGAGGACCGTGACCATGGGGTCACTCTGAAGGCTAAACAGCCGATGTGTGTAAAGATGCCAGGCACAGTGCCAGGTACTTAGGAGCTCACAAAATTTGATCCTTTGACTTGTTGAACAAGCCTTCATTGCCACCCAGTCACGAGCAGCAGGATCATGTGGAGCCCAGGAAACCGCTGGGTCTGAATTTTGGCTGGGGTTGGGCCAGGGGCTAGACCCTCTAAATATTCACCCAGCACCTGTTCGGTGCCAGCCTCTGTCAGCCTGGGGGCCTCTCTCTGCCCTGGGCTGCCCTACTTCCCCGTCCCCGCCTCCAGGCAGCCTTCCGACCCTGCAGCCTCTCCTGTACTCCACCCGCCCTGTGGAGCCCCCAGTTTGCTGCACTGCCCAGAAGCTCAGAGCTGGTGCTGAGTTCATGCCTCAGCCCCACCACTTCCCTTGTAACCCTGAGCCCCTGAGCTGCCCTCTATCTGAACCTCGGCTCCCACAGCCATAACGATGGGGCTGGTAACAGAACCGATTTTATGGAGTGGTTTGGGGTTTGAAAAAGATATAGTGGAAAGCTGGGGTGTGACAGGAAGTGCTTAGGAACCAGTCTTTGTTGGCGTCATGGTCATTTTATCTCTGTCATGTATGAATTTTGTCTGCTGGGTGCTTTTGTAAGTGACTCGAGGGCAGGCTCTCTGGAGGGGTCAGCCTGGAGTGCCCATGCCCAGCCCAGAGCTGGCGTCAGCAGGCATCCAGAGGGCGTGAGGTGATTGACATGTGACATGCAGTCATCCCACGTGTTCCTGGCCTCCTAGAACCTCCTACCAGGGGGGTGGGGGGTGGCGGAGCCTCTGCAGAAACGAACCTGACAGTCCCCCATCTGGGCCACAGGGTAGGGTAAAAACATGGTCTGTGGTGCAGAAGCTCTGTGGACACTCTGCTCCCTGCAGCCAGTATCTCCCTAGCCCTGGGTGGTCTCTTCTCACAGCCGCTACCTGTCTGTTTTCTTCAGATAAGCTCTTCTACATCTACACATCGGGCACCACCGGGCTGCCCAAAGCCGCCATCGTGGTGCACAGCAGGTAAGGGGCAGGTGCTGGGGGGACAGAGCCCAGGAGCCCCTCCTCCTGCCTCCCAGGGGCCTGCGAAGTGCCCTTTCTGTGCCCTCCCAGGTATTACCGCATGGCCGCCCTGGTGTACTACGGATTCCGGATGCGGCCTGACGACATTGTCTACGACTGCCTGCCCCTCTACCACTCCGCAGGTAACACAGGGCCCACCCTCTTAGCCTCCGGTGCCCCAAGGCCTCAGGAACCCCACCCCTCTTGGGGTGGCACCATCTTGTGGGTAGAAATCTGGAGTCAAATCTGGGTTCAAATTCAGATGTGGCCATTGACTGGACCTCTGAACAAAGTCGGCCACGCCAGCCTCATAATGTGTGTGGCCATGTCCCGCAGTTCTGGCCCGGCAGTTCATTTCCACAGGTGTGCACAGCCTTGCGGCTTGGGAAGGGAAGCACAGAGAAGCGCAGAGATGGAATAATTAAGAGTTCCTGCCCTCAAGGTGCTTAGAGGCAGGTGTGGATTTAGGGCAGGATGAAGAATTGGAACTCACCTGACTTTAATACAAGAAATGGCATTGTGAATATGGAGACAGGCAGGGAGCAGGAGCTCAGCTCAAGAGAAGAGCCCAGTGATGGTCAGGAAGGCTTCCTGGAAGAGGTGCTCCCAAGTCAGGCAGACGTGAGGTGCTGAAGCCAGGAGAGCTAGCTTGCTCCCCCTCTGGCTGAATGGCAGCATTACAGGTACAGGAGCAGGAGCTTGGGGCCAGCTCCAGGGGCCCCAGGGACAGTCTAAGGAGCGTGCACTCGATCCCACACTGGGGAGGCACTGGGGAACCATGTGTGTCTGACGAGGGGAGAGGGGTGATTAGTTTGTGTTAGAGGAACAGGACAGGAAAGAGGGACTGGGGAAGGGCCTTTGAGGAGAGGGGCTGGGCGGGAGGAGATTCTGGAAGGAGGGGTCTCCTAACTCCCTGACCTCCACGTGCCACCCCTTCACCTTTAGGAAACATCGTGGGAATGGGGCAGTGCCTCCTCCACGGCATGACAGTGGTGATCCGGAAGAAATTCTCAGCCTCCCGGTTCTGGGACGACTGTATCAAGTACAACTGCACGGTGAGTGAGAAGGGCAGAGGATGAGCGTCCCTGTGCTCTCGTGACCCACCCGCCCCATTTGGGGACGTCTGCCTCACAGCTGAGGCCCAGATCGTTCACTGGGGGCAACATTTCCGTTATTCCATTGGGGAGGCTGAGGCCCAGGGCCCGTGGGATTGGGAGGTGAAGTGAGAGCAGCCGTGGGCCAGCCTCACACCAGGTCCACCCCCAGATTGTGCAGTACATCGGTGAGCTGTGCCGTTACCTCCTGAACCAGCCGCCCCGGGAGGCAGAACACCAGCACCGGGTGCGCATGGCGCTCGGCAACGGCCTCCGCCAGTCCATCTGGACCGACTTTTCTAGCCGTTTCCACATCCCCCAGGTGGCTGAGTTCTACGGGGCCACTGAATGTAACTGCAGTTTGGGCAATTTCGACAGCCAGGTCGGCCATGGGACAGTGGAGGGCGGGCAGGGGGCGGCGCGGAGTGTGGGCGCCGGAGCCCCCGCTGTCTGGTCAGGGCGGGCGGAGGGCGGCGCGGAGTGTGGGCGCCGGAGCCCCCGCTGTCTGGTCGGGGTGGGGCAGTTGTGGGAGTGTGGGCGCCAGGCCTCCCAACACTGTCCAATCTCAGGTCCAAGTCTTGGCCTTTGCAGGTGGGGGCCTGTGGCTTCAACAGCCGCATCTTGTCCTTTGTGTACCCCATCCGGCTGGTACGAGTCAACGAGGACACCATGGAACTGATCCGGGGCCCCAATGGCGTCTGCCTTCCCTGCCAGCCAGGTCTGCCCCAGGGTTGGAAGTGGGGTCAGAGCAGGAGACATTGACCCGGGAGGGAGATGGCACTGGGCTGCGTGAGTGGGGAGCCCTTTTCTGACCAGTGGCCATCACTCAGCTCTTAGGGCCACAAGTCATTTATTTTTTGTCTGTTTGTCCTTCCATTCTTTATCCCCTCTGCCCATCAGTCCATTGATTCACCGCTGTGTGGAGGTCCCCCAGGTTGATCCTGGCTCAGCCCCTTCACTCTGTGCCCAAGTCCTCTCATCTGCGAGTGAGGCTGATGGCAGCACCATCTCCTGGAGTCGCCCTGGGGATCATGTGTGCTAAGGAACGCACAGAGCCAGGGGCCCAAGGAGTGCTGGCTCTGCTCAGGCTGTCCACGTAGAGCTTGGCCACCCTTTCGTATCATTCGTCTTTCCATATGCTCCGTGACCAGACGTTCCTGAGTGCCTCTGTGCATCAGACCCGCCAGAAGCAGCTTCCCTGCCCTCGGGGTTCCTGCCGCAGAGCTGGATAGAGTTCCCGTGGGAAGCAGTGTGAACAGAAGTCAGATCAAGATGCAGGGCGCATTTGGGGGTGGGGAACGGGTGAGAGGAGGCCATCAGAGTAAAGCTGCTCTGCCTTCTCTGCCCCCAGGTGAGCCAGGCCAGCTAGTGGGCCGCATCATCCAGCAGGACCCCCTGCGGCGCTTCGACGGCTACCTGAACCAGGGTGCCAGCAATAAGAAGATCGCCAAGGACGTCTTCCAAAAGGGGGACCAGGCCTACCTCACTGGTGGGTGGGCACCAGCCCCTTTGGAGGGACAGGGTGGAGAGGAATGAAGGGGCCCTCCCCCACCTTCAGAGAATACTGCCCCAGTCCCAGCCCTCCCTGTCAAGCAGATCCTGGGGTCCTGTGAGGCCGGCCAGCCCAAGCCCAGACCTCATACTGTGCCCCCGTAGGAGATGTGCTGGTGATGGACGAGCTGGGCTACCTGTACTTCCGAGACCGCACGGGAGACACGTTCCGCTGGAAAGGGGAGAACGTGTCCACCACCGAGGTGGAGGGCACACTCAGCCGCCTGCTGGACATGGCCGACGTGGCAGTGTATGGTGTCGAGGTGCCAGGTATCCATGGGGGCAGTGGGAGGTGCCAGGTGTGTGTGGGGAGGCCCCGCTGGGGGGCACCGCCGGTTCCTCACGGTCCACGCTGCCACCCCCAGGAACCGAGGGCCGGGCTGGAATGGCTGCTGTGGCCAGCCCTGCTGGCAACTGTGACCTGGAGCACTTCGCACAGCTCCTCGAGAAGGAGCTGCCCCTGTACGCCCGCCCCATCTTCCTGCGCTTCCTGCCCGAGCTGCACAAAACGGGTATGTCCCTGCCCCTGCTCCAGCTCCCGGGTTCCGGGCCTGTGGCCCTTCTTGGCTCCTTTTGGGGAGACCTGGGGGGGCTGTCATTTGCCCTCCGGCCACAGCATTGCTGTGTCATTGGTAAACAGACCTCCCTGTGTACAAGTGAGCGGACCGAGCCCTCAGAGAAGGTTCACACATCCGTGAGCGGAACAAATGTTTACTGAGTACCTACTATGCGTGTGCCAGGCTCTGTGCTAGGTCTCGGGGATTGAGGTGACAAATTTTTTTTTTTTAAGATTTTATTTATTTGCGAGAGAGAGAATGAGAGACAGAGAGCATGAGAGGGAGGAGGGTCAGAGGGAGAAGCAGACTCCCCACTGAGCAGGGAGCCCGATGTGGGACTCAGTCCCGGGACTCCAGGATCATGACCTGAGCCGAAGGCAGTTGCTTAACCAACTGAGCCACCCAGGCGCCCGAGGTGACAAATTCTGATGGGACCTTTGCCGTCTTGTGGGAGGCAGCACAGGACAAGGAATTCCAAGGGCAAAGAACAGAATACAGATCGAACCGACAGAAAAGCAAATGAAGGGGGCTATGGTGCCTGGGAGGCTCCCTGGAGGAGGTGACCTTTGAGCTGAGACCTGAAAGGAGTGGGAGGCATTCCAGGCTGGTCCCTAAGACCAGAGGGCACTTGGGCACGAGAGGAGGGGAGGGAGGCCCCCAAAGCCGGAGCCATGGGGAGCTGTGGGCAGCGGTGTCAGGTGGGGCAGAGAGGCCAGTGGGGACCAGAAGACTCTGGGCTGGGGGGGGTGCCTGGGCTCTGTTGGGGCAGCAGGGAGCCACAGAAGTGTTTGCATAGAGCTGTAGCCTGTGTCAAGTGCGTGTGCCACGTGGCCCTCTGGCTGCTTTGTGGGATGCGGGAGAGGGCTACAGGCAGCCCCAGGGGAGCACAGACACTAGCAAGGGGCTGTTACTGTTCGGAGAGAGGTGAGTAATGGGTCCACAGTAGCACAGCAGGGCGGTGCCAGCCTTCTGTCTGTTGGACCACTGATGGGTCCCCTGATGGGCAAGAGGTCAGTCCTTGCTGCCCTGTCCTGACTCCCCCCGGCCCCCCACACACACACCCCCAGCATCTCACCAGCTGCTCAGCCTCAGGCCACCTCCTTTGTGCTCATCATGTTACCCCCTGCCTTGCTGGAAGGCCTTCCCGGACCCATGTCGCCTCTGCCGGGTGGTAGGCTCCTAGCAGCACCTGAAACAGTGTGGAGGGTCTAATGGGGACACTGGTGCTGGGCTCGTGATGGAGTCTGGGAGCTCCTGAGGTTTGGGTGACAGCTGACTTCTCTGTGCAGGAGAGAGGCAGGGAAGAGACCTCAGGTTTCAGAGGCTTTGCTGCAGCACAAACATCCCTAAACTTACTTTAGCACTTAAAACAGCCATTTTTTTTGCTCTCAGTTGTGGGTCAGCAATTTGCAGTTCAGTTCAGCTTAGCGGTTCTTCCGTCAGCCCCGGCATCAGTCGTGGGGCTGGACGGGCCAGGATGTCCTTACTTACCTGTCTGGCTTCCAGCTGATTGCTTCTGCAGCGCTGGCCAGCAGAGCTGTCTGCGCTGATGATGGTGTCCCGTGTGCGCGCTGACCAGCACCACGGCTGCTAGCCCCGTGTAGCTGCTGAGCGCTCCAGCTGGGGCCAGCATGACTGCGGAATGGAACCTTACATTTTCGTTCATTTTAATTAAATGTATAGAGCCCCTCATGGCCAGATCGCTATCCTATTGGATAGGGTCAGTCCAGGGGGCGTCCCTGGGCTGTCCCACCTCTGCTCTCTGTGGCTCCTACCCCTTCAGAGACTATACTGGTATCAGGCACCCCCTCCTGGAGTGGAAGCTGCAGGGCCCCTCAAGGCCTGGACTCTCCGAACTCTCATGGTCTGTGGGTCCAAGCAAGTCACAAGGCCAGTTCGGATTCGGGTGGGGGCTGAGAAAGACTCCAGCTGTCACTGGGAGAAGTGGCCAAGCCACCAGGCAGCGGAGTGTGCATCCAAGGAAGGAGGCAACCTGGCCATTTCTGGCAATCTGTCGTAACCGGGTTCAAATCCCAGCTCCAGTGCTTACTAGCCGTGTGGCGTTGGCCCAGGGCTGTGCCTTGCCCCGCCAGTCTTCTCCTCTGTCCACTGGGCTGATGCCAATGACTGAGAAGTAGTTTCCGTGACCTAAAACTGAGAAAGCATTGCTGCTGTTGAAACTATTTCAGAGATGTTAAAAGCTGAAAATACATGCATTATGGAATCCGTAGAACACTGTGGCGCGCCTGCCCCTGGAATTCATGTGCTCATTAGATGAGCGCACGCCTGTACCTTGGAGGTGTTCAAAGCACAGAAGGCCCAGGCTCTGGCCCTCCCTCTGCTGTCAGTCAGGGCGTGTGGCCTTAGATGGATAGTTTCCCCTCTTTGGTTCTCAGTTTCCCCAGCTGCAAGCAGAAGGCAGGTAGCATGGCTCCCCACTGCAGCGCCAGGCCTGCTTTGAGCAGCAGTACATAATATAATTAGCTGGAGCCGCCTTTGCAAAGTGCACAGGGCTGTGCCCTGCTGTGCTCCATGCCCTATTCCCGTGTTCTCTCCGGCCCTCTTCCTCTGCCCCTCAGCTTTGGTGTGCGGCTTCCCAAGGCTCAGGTCCCTGCCCTGCACGCTCTGACCCCTCTTCCTTGCTCCCTCAGGGACCTTCAAGTTGCAGAAGACAGAGCTTCGGAAGGAAGCCTTTGACCCGGCGGTTGTGAAAGACCCACTGTTCTACCTGGATGCCCGGAAGGGCCGCTACGTCCCGCTGGACCAAGAGGCCTACACCCGCATCCAGGCAGGCGAGGAGAAGCTGTGATTTGCCCCGAGTCCCTCTAAGGGCCAGCGGGTGCTGGATCCAGAGCCCCAGCTCCCACCCCAGAGGGGTCGTGGGCAATGCCAGACCAAAGCAAGCAGGGCCCAGCGCCTCTACCCCAAGGTGCTGTGGCCCCCCTCCCCCTCAAAACTGCCAAGTGACTCACTGCCGCCTCCCCCTGCCCCCCAGGAGGCTTTCTGTGAAAGCCTCAAGTCCATATTCTGTCTTCAAGGCCAGGTGGGGCCTCTGGGCCCCAAGATGAGACAGACCAGGCCCCTTAGCATGATGTCTTGGGTCAGGGCAGGGGTAGGTGGAGGGTCACCCAGCACTCCTCAGAGCACAGGGAGCTTGTAAATGGGACCAGGGCAGAAGCCCCCAGACTCAGGAAGCCAGCAGAGTGGGCAGGGGCTGCAGTGGCTATTGATCAGGTGGCCCCGGAGCTGTTCCAGTGTCACTCAGCACTGCCCGCGCCTCCAGGAGGATCGGAGGAGGACCCCGACCCGCAGCAGGCACCCTGACTGAGTGCCCTCCCCCTCGCCATCCTCCTCTCCTGGGTGGCAGCCTGGCTGCCCCTCAGGCGGGACCTTTGTCCTTGTAGGTCTGTCCACATCACTTTCTCCATCGCAGTCCTGGGCTGGCTATGAGAGGAGGAGGGGGTTGGGGGGGGTCGTTCAGGAGCCAATAAACTGCCTTCACTCCCCCTAGCCTGTGTGCATGCCACCTGAGCTCACAGCACCTGCTCAGGCCCCACCTCCTGCCCCTCCAGCCCATTTACTCACTCAGACTTAGGGCTACAGCAGGTAAGACGCCCTCGTTGAATTGGCAAGGTATTTAATAGCATGAGCTTGAAAGTCCAAACCAGCTGTGTCACTTTTGAGTTTGTGGTCTAGAGCAAGTGACTCAGTCTCCGCATCTGTGAAAGGGCACTATCAAGAGGATTCAGAGAGCACAGGTACACATGTTGAGGAAAGGGCCGTTCAGAGCCCTTGAGGGAGAAAAGCCTAACGCGGGGCCTGATCCCATCTCCAGACCCTCGCCTGTGCATTTCCTCGGGGGTCTGGGGGCTGTGCGAGCCAGAGCCGGGTGGCCTGACCGGCTCTGGCAGAGTCCAGGAAAGCTTCCCAGACCCATGTGCCCAGGGCTGCAGCACCGGCTGTGCCAGTGGAGAGGCAGCTGTCCCGAGGCCCCGTTGCCAGAGTCACACCCAGGCTGGAAACGCATGGCCCGTTGGGAGAGGGGTCCCACCCAGCCCAGGGCAGTGGGCAGCATGTGCCCCTGGGCCTTACCTTCACTATTTAAGCTTCACCGCAGTCTGTCAGTCACTTTGCTGAGGTCACACAGCAGTAGGGGGAGCTGGGGGGGGGGGGCGCTGGAATGCAAACCCAAGCCGCTGTTGCTTCCTGCTGCTCCACCCACCGCCTGGTGCAGAAGGCCAGGGGAAAGCCGAAGGAGCTTCCATTCCACCCGTGCCTGTGGAGCCCGTTGTGGGCCCCACCCTCGGCCTGCAGTTGATGGCCAGGGTGGAGGGCCAGGATGACATCTGGGATGCCTCCTGGGGGAGTGACTCTGAAGAAGGAATCTGATGCTCTTGGGGGAAAGTGGGGGGCAGAGCTGGAGTCCTTGGAGAGAGGTGCTGGAGGGGGTTTCCGGGCGGGGGTGGTGACAGTCACGGTTGCAGTGTCCCAGTGTGACCAGCAGAGGGCATGCAGAGCTTGGAGAATCCCATCTTCGTCCTTCGCACTCAGCCTCCAGAAGTGGGAAGGAGGGGCTGTGAGTCCCACCTCAGGCCCAGGCGGGTACACAGCCCAGAGCACCCTGTGGCAGGGCTTTGAGGGCCTAGGGTCAGACTTCCAAGGGGCTGGACCTGACAGCGTGGCTTTGTCTTTTTAACCCTTAGCAGTGAGTGCCTTCCAGTGGGATAGTGCCCCCCGCCAGGGGGCCCCATTCCTTCCTTAAGGTTGAACACAGACACCAAAAGTCAATATAGAGTGATGGGTTAAAAGCTCCAGCTTGAACAGGCATGTGTTCAAGTCCATTCACCAGGCTAAGCCTCAGTTTCTTCCCCTATAAATGGAGATTACAAGACTAAAAAACAAAAAAAAAATCTATATTCAGGTGTTAAGACCCCAGACTAGGCCTGAATTCGCTACTTCCACACCACTCCTCCACCCACCCTTGAAGGGCCTTGGGAGCTCTCCCATCTGCCTCTGATCATTCTCAACCACGGCCGTGTGAGTCATCATGCACACACAGTCGATTCTCGGTATGTCCTTGTGAAGTTCACGACTGCTTATTGGGCAATTCCTGACGTTTATATGGTGTTTCACGGTTTACAGAGTACGGTGTAAGTTCATCTATGGAGCAGATTCTAAAGACCTACGTAGGATGGGGGACGGGGCAGAGGCGGTGCGTGGTGAGCAAGAGAGACCTGGGAGCCGGCCGCCTGGAGACGGGGGAGTAAAGTTAGGAAAGAAGCAGAGAGTGTGTGGTTAGCTGCACCTACTAACCCAGGGCCCTCGTGGGGTGGGCAGTCCTGTTTCCTGGTCAAAGAGGCTTTTCAAGGAAGAGTTATCCAAGAATTGGAGGGAGAAGAGTGTTTCAGACAGCTGGAGGAAAACGTAAAGGCCTTGGAAGTCCGTGGCAAGCAGGGGAGATTACAGCAAGCTGTGACGCTGCAGGGGAGTGCAGGTTGGGGGTGGAGTTGAGCTGAAGCAAGCTATGAAAAATGAGTCCTTTGTGGGCACTTGTACTCGCACGCTTCCAGAGACTGGGGGCTGTTAGGAGGTCCCGGCATCGGGGCAGACCCACTTCCTTAGACTTCCTAATGGCCACCACGGATGGAGCCCTCCTGTGCCCAGTCCTTTGTGTGCATTGGTTCATTAAGCCCATACCACAAAGCAGCTACTATTTTCATCCCATTCCACAGATGAGGAATCTGAGGCTCAGGGAGGCAAAGCCTCTCCCAAGACCACAGAGCCTGTGAATGGCAGCGCGGGGATGCAAGCCGCCTTCCCAGAGCCGCAGTATTTGCATCTGCCGCAGGGCCAGGGGGAGGCTGGAAGGAGCCTGCCTTGAGCATCCCCGGAGGTCCTACCGCCCTCGGGACAGGCAAGTGGCCGACCAGGCCAGTGCTTGGCGTATCACTTTCAATCCCTGGGAAGGTTAAATACCTCCGAGGGGCCCACTGAGGCGGTGGCAGTAAGGGAGGGGGTGACCAAGTGACTTTCAAAGGGGCCTGAATGCGTGGCCGGCCCCTCCCCCACGAGGAGGGGGCCCTGCTTCCTCCCAGCCTAATGGTATTCTGGGCTCAGCCCTCGTCTTTGGCGGCAGTTTAACCCGAGCCGGGGCGGATTTCTTTCTCACTGATCTCAGCTTGACACCCAATTAGCACAAGAATGGGAGGAGGAAGCCTGAGAGAGGCGCCTCCCAGCCTCCCGGGGCGCACGAGGGGAGCAGGCGGGAAGACAAAGGGCAGCGGGCAGGGGGGCACCCGCGCCCTTGCCTCCCCCCCCCCCCCCGCAGACCCTGCCTTTGTCTCCCTAGTTGCTTCAGAGGGGCTGGAGGCCGACGTCCGGGCTGGCCGGCCTGCTGGAGGACTGGGGATGGGGCCCAATTCCCCGCGTCTGCGTAGATCCCAGGGGAAGGCATTTGGGTGATCCGGACCCCAAGGGAGGCCGTCAGGGTCAGTGATACTGAAGGTGCTACAACCTGGGGTTGAGGCCTGACGCTTAGGGACCATGCACAAACCACTGGTTCTGAGCTTTGATTTTCTCATTGGAAAACGGTCCTGTGAGCAATCTGTGCATGTATAGCACCTGACCGGTGTAAGGTGGGCATTCAGTAAACACTCTGAATGAGTATGTTAAACTAGCATCGCTACTAATTAAAGAGGCTGAGTGGGGTAGGTTTGGGGTCAGGAGAAGGAAGGACTTTCTGAGACCAAGGCACTCACAGAATGAGCGGTTTTGTTTTTTTTTTTTTTAAACTTTATTTGAGAGAGAGTGGGCCAGAGAGAGAGCGCGCGCGCGCAGGGTGAGGGGCAAAGCCAGAGGGAGAAGCAGACTCCCCGCTGAGCAGGGAAACAGGGCTTGATCCCGGGACTTCAGGATCATGACCTGAGCAGAAGGCAGACGATAAACCGACTGAGCCACCCAGGCGCCCCCAGAACGGGCTGATTTACCCAGAAGGGAGCTCCCATTTCTGGGACTATGCAAGAAGATAGAAGAATCCCTGTCTGTTGAGATGTGGGAAGATGCCTCCTTCCTAGGAGCCCTCTCCCTCCCACCACTCCTTTGGATTTGGGCTTAGGTGTGACTTCTGGGAAGCCTTCCCTGATCCCAGTGCTGGATTAGGGCACTCCTCCAGCTCCCATAGGGCCCCCATATGCCCCCTTTATAACACTGATCACACCACGTGGTCCATTTTTACATCTGTGTCTTCTTCTAGAACAGTCCCAAAAGGGCAGGGACCTGTTGGTTTTGTTCACTGTTTAAGCACTGGGCCTGGTGCTTAACAGATGCTCAGTGAATGTGTGTCAGATGGCTGAAGCCCTTCAAATGCTCCCTAGCTCTTGTGTTCCAGGCCCAGGAGGGGGCAGTTCCTAGGGGGAGAAAATATTCAATTCATAGAGGTGAGCTGAGATCAGAGGCTCAAGGGCTCTGAACACCTTCTAGGAAGGCCCTTATCTTCGCCAAAGAGAAGCCAGTGAATGAGCAGGGAGTGATGTGTTCACTCACTCATTCAGCAAGCACTTACCAAACCCCTACAATTACAAAGCTCCTTACCACAAGCCAAGGATCAAAGATGAATCAGGCAAGATTTCTGCCCTTCAGGAGCTGGGTCTAGTGGAAGAATCTTAGAATATTTTTGCTGAAAGGACCTTCGATCATTTGGTCCCCAACCTTCTTTACAGATTGGGGAAACTGAGTTCCAGAGAGGGAAAGTGACCAACCCGCACAGCATAGTACACGTGGGACCTTTCCATTTACCGCAGGATTCCTTTGTGCCCTTTGAGGACCAGGGCTGTGTCTCATTTGTCTTCACTTTGCCAGTGCCCTGGAACAGTGCCTCATGCATCGAAATGGCTCAGGGCTCTCCATGGAGTCAAATTGTGCAATGAAGCCAAGGCCAGAGTGAGGGAGGCGGGAGGCAGGCAGGCAGGCAGAGAAGCAGCAGATACAGGTGCAGGTGATGGTGGTGGTGGTGAAAGATTTGGGGGGTTGCAAAATCAGCTTAGATGGGAGATGAATCCAAATCGGTGATTTGAATATGGGAGAGAATTAAGAACAATGCCCAAAGTTTCTTGAGTGTTTCAGTGGGTGGGAGTGGTATCCTTGAAATGAGGAACACAGAGGAGGGCCTGTTTTAGGGAAAGAGGCACTGTGCCAAGAACTCATTTAGTCCTCGCTACAACCCTATGAGTTAGGGGTTGTTATCCCCATTTTACAGATGAGGAAACTGAGGCACAAACATGTACGTTAAGGGACTTACTTAAACAGCTAAAAGTGGTGGGACCTGGGGCGCCTGGGTGGGTCAGTTGGTTAAGCGACTGCCTTCGGCTCAGGTCATGATCCTGGAGTCCCAGGATCGAGTCCCGCATCGCGCTCCCTGCTCGGCGGGGAGTCGCTTCTCCCTCTGACCCTCTTCCCTCTCGTGCTCTCTATCTCTCATTCTCTCTCTCTCAAATAAATAAATAAAATCTTTAAAAAAAAAATGGTGGGACCTGGATATAAAGCTGGCAGGTGAATGCCTAGCTCTTTTTTTTTTTTTTTTAAGATTTTATTTATTTATTTGACAGAGAGAGAGACAGCGAGAGCAGGAACACAAGCAGGGGGAGTGGCAGAGGGAGAAGCAGGTTTCCGGCCGAGCAGGGAGCCTGACGAGGGGCTCGATCCCAGAACCCTGGGATCATGACCTGAGCTGAAGGCAGTCGCTTAACCAACTGAGCCACCCAGGCGCCCCAAAAAAGATTTATTTATTTGAGAGAGAAACCACACACGAGTGGGGGGAGGGGCAGAGAGATAGGGAGAGAGAGAATCTCAAGCAGACACCTGCTGAGCTCAGAGCCCTACTCGGGGCTGGATCTCAGGATCCTGAGATCATAACCTAAGCTGCAATCAAGTCAGATGCTCAATCAACTCAGCCACCCAGGTGCCCCAGGTAAGGATATTTTAAAACACAGTTCAAATCACCCCCTCCCCAAACCTTTCTGAGACCTCCCACTGCTCTTAGAATAGAGATTGAATTCTTACCTGGCTCCCAAGGTGTGATTTGGCCCCTGCCCCCTTTCTAGCCTCATCTCTTACCAAGTCCTCTGCTTCCCAACTTCCACATTCCCTTCTTGGGGTGCTCCGGCATGGTCTCCCACCCAGAGCCTTTGCATCTTCTGTTCTCCTCATTGGAACGCTCCCAGAGGTTTCTCTCCCCCTCACAGCCGCCTACTTTACTCAGGTTTAGAGCTCAGTTCAGGTCCAGCCCAATCTGTTTTCTTTTTGAAATTCCTGTGACTTCAGATCACTTCTTTCGGTTTGAGATTTTATATTTATTAGTACCACTGGTTCGTTTATTTGATAAGAGCTAGCTTCCCCCACTAGCCTGTGAACGCCCTAAAGGCAGGAACCTTGCCCATCCCATTCACCACGCACACCTATAGCACTCACCAAGATGCCTGGTACACGGAGAACGTGCAATAAATGTTGAATGAGTAAATCCCAAATCGATAACCAAAGGGGCAGATGGATAGCGACTCGACAGCTCAGGAGAGATTGCTGGGCTGGAAATAAAGATTTGCAGTCACTTACAATTCAAGTCAAGACGAATGGACGGGCTCACCCAAGCGCTGTGCGGGCTTAAGAGAGATTTGTTAACTTTTGCAAGATAAACAGTAACGTGGCTCACAGGTACTGCACAAAGATGCCCGGGGCCCACCTCGCTATGGCTCGCACAAGCCGCCGCCCACCCAGCTCTCTGAACCCCGTCACTAAAAGGCAGAGGGAGACCAAGAGTCTCCGACAGCGCCGTGACCTCCCCTCCTCCGCTCCTCGCTCTCCGCCTTCCTCCAATAGCTGCGGAGGATGGCTCCCTGGGTGCCGCCTCTTCCGTCCGCGCCTACCGGAAGTGGGGCGGGAGCGCCGGAAGTTGAAAGGGAATTTCCTGTGAGCTCGGCTTCCTCAACATGGCAGCGCCCTTGTCAGTGGAGGTGGAGTTCGGGTGAGTCACAGAGTTGGGGCGCCGTGGGGATGGATTGAAGTCGTCGGGCCCGGAACTTCCCTCCCTCTGCTTTGGTCCCCGTGACGACCAAATCGCCAAGGCTCCCGGCGCATTCCCAGAGCTACGCCACCTGCCTCTGAGAGTCTGAGAGGTTCGGTCTCCCTTGGCGACGAGGCCGTATGTCCGGGAATAGAGGCGCAAGCCCAGTCGTGGAGGTGCTCTCTGGGCACTCCACAGTGCCCTGTGCCCTGCCGGACCCTAAAGGTGTGACGGTTAGCTGGCGGCCTCCTTACCTTCTTTGCTAATCCCGTTTGGGACCAGGCCTGTGTGTCTGGCATCTGAGCTCCTAGAACCGAGAAGGACTCCTCTTCACCCCCAGATTACTTCCTTCGCGCAGCAGTTTCCGCCTACACGGTTCCTAGAGCCTTGTTTCTCGTGGGATGTGTAGCCAAGACGGGACGCCTTTTCTTTCCCAAGATTTGGGAGTGTTAAACAGACCTGAAGTCCTTTCAGGACCTTCAGGAGACTTGCTGATTGCCTTCTGCTGATCTTGAGTCAGGTGGAGATACGGGGATAAATAAATAGCACGGTGGAGGAGGCTGAGTTGGCGGTGCAGCATGCACAAGACGAGAGGAGCAGGATTGGGGCACACACACCAATAGCTAAACAAACCCAGATCAGGGAGGAAGTCTCCTCAAGCCACTATCTTCTGTCCCCTACAAACAGGTTTGTCATGTGATTTCAGAGCTGAGAGAAACTGCAGAGCTTGGAGAGAAGGCAAAGAAACAGACCCAACAGATGGGTGGTAGAATTTCAAGTCACATGGGAAAAGCCGGGACTAGATGTGCGTGTGCGTGTGTGTGTGTGAAGATAAACAAGCCAAGGCTTATATGAAAGGGAAAGTCTGAAACGGTAATTTAAAACCTCTAGCCATAAATGCTTTTCCTTCCATGGGGTGCCCCCAGTTTCTTTCATGTTTTCCCTTCATTGGATAGTCCATTCAGTAGCCATTTATTGAGTGCCTATCATGTGCCAGGCAGTGAGCCAGGCACTGAGGATACAAAGATAAATAGAACTCTGTCCATGTCCTCCAGTGTTCAGTGTTTCTGTCCGTTAGAATAAGGGAGTAGTCTCATGAATGTTAACTGCATTTTAATTGACAATATTGTCTGGCCCCATGGGTCCAATTAGAACGATACTGGTCTGGCCTCCTGACTATTTTGCTTCACTGACCCTTGGCTCAGCTATACACCCACCCCACCCCACCCCCCTATAGCTTGGTTCTAGGAGGATCCCTGCTGTTTTGACAGGCTTCAGCAGAGCTGAAAAGAGCTGCAGACTGCCGGTGTTACGGTTTATCTGCAGTCAGCCTACCTTTCATCCTTACTGAGTCAGACGTGGTACTCGTTCATCAGGAATGTCTCTGTCTGCCAGGTACTGTCCTGGCAGCAGTGGGGAGTCCTACTATGAGGAAGATAGGGTCCCTGCCTTCCAGAGCGTATGGACTAGCTTAATTACCCCTTTTCTAGCCTAAACATCTCTAGCTTCAGCCTCCCTCACCCCCAAGAGCAAGAGTGAGCCCCACAGCATTCCTCCCCTGTCTCCCCATCTCCTAATACCTCTTCTCGCCACCTCAATGTCCCGTGAGAATGGCAGCTTCTCAGGAAGCAAGAATGTCTTAAGATGTATGCCAAACCCAGATTCCTTCTCTCTTTGTCTCAGTGCATGTTTTCGGCCCTGGCTTCTCTTTCATTATCTACATTTCTTAGTGGACTTCCTTCACCCCTCACTGTGAACCTGAGCAGATTTGCAAAGAACCCACCTTGCCCATCATTCTCTCCCTTCTGTCTCTTGAGTGCCACTCTGGTCCTTGAAGAGTCCATTTAGGATTTTCCCTCTTTTCCCTGCGTAGATGTGGTCCTGTCAGTCTGACCAGCTTTGATAGACTCTCTAGAAGACCTCTCACACTGTTCACTCTCTTGTGAGGAACGAGTTCTGCCCTCCTTTGTCTTGCCTCCTGAACTGTCCTGAGCGGTGCCTTTTCTTAGATCACACAAGGTTCAAAGTATGCAGTAGAGATGTGTTGTGTGTTCCTGAGGTCCAGATGTGAGATTCCCTTTCCCTCACCCTTTTTCCTTCTTCCTGAGGCTTGTAGGTGTTGGCAAAGGGAGGCAGGACCATTGAGGTAAGAGAAGAAGGAGAAATGGGCATTTTCATTCATTCAGCAAATATTTCTTGAGTGCCTACTGTGTGTCAGACCCTGTTTTAGGCAGAGCTTGTACTCTAGCAGGTAGAAAGGAAATAAATAAACAAAACAAAAAATACATGAGATGAGCTGATGGAGATAAGCTAGAAACAGGGAGGGCAGTTTGGGGATCGTCTGTACCAGCCACTGGTACCAACAAACACTCCCATCAGGAATTAGGGGGTGAAGGGAAGATGAAGTAGCTTCAGATGTAACTCCTTAGTTGAGTTTGAACAGCAGACCCTGTGGGACATAAGAATGTCTGGCTTTGGTTCTCTTCTGGGACCAAAACAGGTCCCTTGCCTGCCTCCCTAAATCTCTCCAGAGGCCGGGTGTTCACCTTCCTCCCCTCCAGATGTGCTGGCAGTAGAAATGCCAACCCCTCCCTTGGGGAGCCAGTGAACCCAGTGGTGATGGGTCACTCTGAGCGAGACTGCTTCTCCCTTTCTCTGCTTGCAAAGGGAAAAACAGCCTTGGCCTCTGAGCCTGGCACCACCAGGTTTGGCCACTCTTGGTTGTTTGCCTGGGTCCCAGTGCCTCCAGTTCCCACCCCTCTTCTCTGACCCCCAACTCCTGAGCCCCTTGCCTGTCACCCTCCCCCACCCCAGCTGCTGCATGTGCCAGCCCCCACCCAGGAGAGAACGAGGCTCTTGGAAGGGGATAAATGGAGGCTCTGTGCAGCCTTGCAGCTGAAATGGCCCTGCGCGCGGCCACAGATGGGCCTCCTCTCCCCCTCCACATTTCTGCATCAACAAAGCGTGACCTTGTTTGGATGACAGTCGCCCCATGTTTCCCCCATGACAATGCTTGCCTTGCCTTTGCCTCCCAGTGGACTGTCTCAGGACATCTCTGTTCTCTGAAATTGGGAAAGGGTGGTGGGGTGGGAGGCGTCACATCCATCAAAAGTCTGTTAAGGCCTTCTCAGTTAAGATCCACGTGAAGTCTGAGATGGGGATCAGGAGACCCAGAGGAAGAAGCACTGTGGGGCATTGAAAGACCCCTCGTGTCCGCATCATAAGCCCCAGCTTCTGGACTTGACTCCAAGCATCTCTGCTGTCCCAACTTCCCCTTGGCCAGGTGCTGGCACACGGAAGTGAACCAAGCTGCCTTCAAGGGGCTTTCTGACCTTTGGGGAGTCTTGTTTTCTTTCTGCCAAGGTTGCTGGGGCTGAGCAGAAACCAGTTGGAATTTAGATCCTACTTCAGCCACTGCCTCTGTGACCTTGGACAAGTCACTTAACCTCTCCAGGCCTCAGTCTGCTTCTCCATCAGATGGAACTGATAATGTTTGCCTCCCTGACTCCTTACCTGGTTTGCCCTGTGGATGAAATGAGATGACGAGTGTTCTTGTAAATGGCAAAGTTATTGCTAAGCCCAGTGGAGTCTCAGCCTCCAGCACTGTGGTATGCCCACCAGGCCAGCAGTGTGTGGCACAAGCTGGGCCATTTCAAACCCTCCCCTGGCCAGAGGAGACCCCTCAACACACAGGGTCTCCATCATGTCTGATAGTGGCTTCTCAACACTTGTGTAGATGGAAAGAGATTGAGGCTTGAGAACATGAAGTCACATGCCCAAGGTCTGGGCATCGGGCAGAGGTGGAGTGTGGTCTGCATCTTAGGGCAACGGCTCCAAAGCTTGTGCTCTGCACCCATATACTGAGCTGCCTCTTGAGAAAGTAGAGGAGTAAAAATGAGAGTCTGCAAAGTTGGGTGCCTGATCATTGGTGGGAATTATTTACATCCTACTTGACCACATCAGGAAGTCAGATTTGAGAATCAGTCACATACTGGTACTCGAGCTGTCCCTGAGCCTCAGTCTGTGCATCTCTTCAGCTTCGAATGTCAGCCTCCCCCTCAGTTTTCAGTCTTGGCTAAGTTTTTGCAGGAGCTCACCTGGCTGTCTTTCTCTGGCCCTCCTTTGCAGAGGCGGCGCGGAACTCCTTTTCGACGGCGTAAAGAAACATCAGGTCACCTTACCTGGACAGGAGGAGCCCTGTGAGTATGCGCTTTCTGGGCCCCTCTCTGGGGGCTGCTGAGCGGGATCTAAGGCATCACTCAGCCCTGTTCAAGAGGGAATGGGTAGGATTTCCCTGGCCAGTGGGAGAGAGGAGAGTAAGGAAGAGAAATCACTAGAGTACCCTTCCCCCATGCTCCCTAAGATGAGCCAGCTTTGCAGGAGGAAGGTAGCTTCATCCTTACCGATGCGGGTTCTGTATTCAGACAGACTGGAGTTTGGATCTCCTTAGAACCTTAGGCCAGGGGCCTCACCTCTCTGAGCTTTAGTGTTCTTACATATGAGGTAAGGACGGAAGTCCCTATGTGCTAAAAGCTATAGCATGCATCTCTGTTGTTACTCGATGGCAGCAGAGAGGTGTCCTCGTGAAGGGGGTCACCTTCATCAAGAAGGGAACAGTGTGGATGGGCTCACATGGTGAGAGGATTTAGATGAGGCGGAAAGTATCCAGCCAGAAAGGATTGGGGAAGTTGACTAAGGGAGACAGTGAGATGTTTTTGTTTGTCCATTCAGGTACTTGTTCGTTATCCTTTAACAAGTATATACTGAGCGCCTCCTGTGTGGCAAACCATGTACCAGGCACTGGGGAGACATGCAAATATGAGCCAGTCTCTGCCTTCACGCTGGGTGGGGGAGGTGGGGGGGATGAAGAGGTAACTTGCAAGAGTCCAGCTGGGTAAATATCTGTGTAGCCTAGAGGCAGGGGCCTGGGCATCACAACCCCAGAGGTGCCCTGCAGCCCTAGCAATGGGTCCTCACAAGAGCAGAACGCTCAGGGGAGCCTGGGTGGCTCAGTTGTTAAGCGTCTGCCTTCAGCTCAGATCATGATCCCACAGTCCTGGGATCAAGCCCCGCAGCGGACTCCCTGCTCCGCGGGAAGCCTGCCTCTCCCTCTCCTGCTCCCCCTGCTTGTGTTCCCTCTCTTGCTGTCTCTGTCTCTCTCTGTCAAAAAATAAATAAAATCTTAAAAAAAAAAAAAAAGCAGAACGCTCAGGAACGGGAGCCCATCTCCGCCTAACGCTGAGATACTTTGGGAGGTGGGGGGATCAATCCTATGAGGAGGTAGGGGAATGGGGTTCATGGAAGCAGGCAGTGGAGAAATGGTCATGAGCTCTGACGGGGTTCTTCTGGAACTGGACACACATCTGCCGGGAATCAAACAGTTGCCCAAATTCACTGGCTGCCAAGGCTGTCTGTGACCCTGCCTTGGGGTGGAGAGCAGTGGCGCAGAGTGGGGCTGTGTGCCACATTCCGAGCCGGGGGACATTAACCGAAGCACAGGACACTGCTGTCCTTGAACTGGGAGGGGGCATGAGGCTGGGGTGAAATGTCAGGACTGGGGGACAGTGTGCGTCCCTGGTGAGGGGAAGACCCGGGAAGATAAAGGTGACTGGTTCTTAGTTTGACAGATGGCCACACAGCCCAGGGAGGGAACAAGGGGCTCTCAGAAGAAGCCTCTCAAGGATTCAGCCGTAAAGACCTGGCCAGGAAGTTAGTGAAGTCTCATGAGTTATGATTCATTTCCCCCGTGACTGGCGATTGCGTGGCTCGGATGGCCCCAGGGTAAATGATTCCAGTCCCCCTCATTCGCCCATTGGCTGAATGGTTACCATGTGCCAGAGCTGGAAGAGGTACTCACTCTATGGTTGTGGTTGGCATATCTTGTTCTGATGCCTCCTTTGTATCAGGCACTGTACTAGTTGCTGGGTATTCGGTGCTGAGCAAAACAGATGTGGTTCTTGCCCTACATGGAGTGTAGTAGAAGTGGAGGCAGGCAGCAAACCAGGAAACACCTAGTGTGGTGGGCATTGGCATGAGGAGAGCAAACAGGTGCTTTGAAGGAGAGCGCGTGGTAAGGGAAGGCCTCTAAAGGGATGACTTTGAGGTGAAGGCCTGAGGGGTAAAAAGTGGCTGGACTGGTAAGTTGGGAGGGAGAGCAGAGGTGCTGGGGGCCCATTCTAGGCAGAGGGGGTAGCTCTTGTGAGGGCCTCTTGGTCAAAGGCCTGAGGGTGGTCTAGGAACTGAAGAAAGGCCAGTGTGATGCGGACCACAGGCTGAGTTTGGTGTGGTAGGCACAACCCTGGTTGGTTGTGCAAGTAATTGTCACAAATTCTTAGGTGGTAACTGCCATTATTATTCCCAGTTTAAAAACTGGAAACCCCAACTCAGAGATGCCCAGGGTCGTCTTAGTCCACACCATACGGTTATTTAAATGGCAGAGCTGGGATTTAGAACCAGATTTCAGGGTCTCCAAAGTCCTTACATGGTACCACGAACTCCCTGAGTCACATGACATCTCATATCTGCAGTGTATTTTCTGGTTCTACACTTTTCTTTCGTTTGTTCATTCATTCATCAATTCATTCATTCATGCCTTCAACAGCTACTTTGATTTTTGTAATGACCCCAGTAGATATTGTATATGATCAAGAAAACCAAACCTCAGAGAGAGAGAGAGAAAGACAGAGAGAGACAGTGACCTGTCCAAAGTTATGTAAGTAGGGAGACAGGGCTAAGACCCAGGTATTTGATCTCTCATCCTCCATTCACTGCTTAGTGGGTAGATGAGGTCTCCCCTCCCCTCTCCGGGATGGCAGAAAAGAAAGCAGGGGAGAGAAGCTGAAATGGCCCCTTGACTCAGTCTCTGGACCCTTGGCTGTGGATCTCCACCCCTGGTTCCCATTTTCGCCCTGCTGCGCCCAGAGGCGTAGGTCACCCTGCAGCCGCAGAGCCGGCTGACAGCTGCCAGGCACTACCCTGGCACACAGGAGCCCAGCGGGTGCCGCCAGCAGAGTCCCACTCTTCCCCCCAGCCCGTGCCCAGCTCTGTCGACTGGCAGCCTTCCCAGCCCAGGGGCTGCCACTTGGCCAAGCAGGTCTTGGAGACTCCAGCAGAGAAAATAGCAACCATAAGATTATGGATTGTGACAAGTCTCACAAACAAGGGGACTCCAGGGCCCTGGGTCCTGGGCCAGGGGAGAGCTTCCAACCCAGCCAACTTGGGAAAAGAGGATGGGCAAGGCCAAAGGGGGCGAGCCTGCAAGAGGAGCCCTGGCAGTGTGCATTTGCAGATCACTTACTTCTGCGGGCCTCTTTTTTCCCATCTGTGAAATGGGAGGTTGGGCTAGATTTAGTCTTTATTGAGCTGGTTACCCGTTGGACATCCACAGTTTGGAAAAGTTGCTTCCAGATCTGAGCACATAATTCTGGGCATCAGGATGTGTTGTTGTTGGTGAGAAGGTATGCTTATCGAGGGGGATGTCCTAACAGCCATCTCCTTGATTGGCAGGGGTTGGTAGGCGCCATCAGTTTCGGACATCACGGCCACTGGGGGCTGGCTTTTATGCATCAAGGGTCTCTTCAGCGCAAGGCCCCCAGCCCATGGTTGGTGAGTGGCCTGGAGCAAACCCAAAACATCAGGGAAGACAGACTGTCCCCGTGTGGGCCTTACCTGCCCTGGTCGCCAGGAGGAGACAGTAGGCCTCACCTTTCCCTGCCTTCTTCCTCTGGCCTGCCTTTGTATTACAGGGTGGCCGGCTAGGGAGCTGGAGGGAGCTCCCGGCGCTTTAAACTGCTTAGCATGCATTTCACAGCCTCTCTGGGGCCAGCTGTTCCTTTCTCTGCTCTGGGGCCTGTTTGCTGATCCCCTCCCCACCGCCCTCCTCTCCCCCAACCCCTCCCAGTCCCTGTGCAAAATTGCTTTTGAAAAGATCCACTTTCTGCTTAATTAAACAATGAGGAGCGTCCCCTGCACATCTGTAAACCTCCTTCTGAGGCCAGTTTAGCCCACAAACTGCTCCATTCTTACCCCCATTCACTTGTAAATGGACCCTCTGATGTTCCCTCTACCCTCTCTTCTCCTTTACTCCCCCCATCCCTGCTCTTTCTTCTCCCTTTTCAACTAAGGCCTGGGGTGGGCTCCCAGAAGAGCCTGGAGCCTGGTGGACTTGGTGGGAACTGGAGCGGTTTAACCTTATGGAGAAGAAGACTTAGGGGATCCAGCTCTCCCGGATCTGAGTGGCATGGGGAAGAAGGGCCGCTTGTGTTGGTGTGGTCCCCATGGACCAACCAGGCTCCTCGGGGGGAGTCTCAGGAAGACAGATTTCTGGTTAGGAGAAAAGTTCTCCCTAGAGGTGATCAAAGAGAGGCTGGATGTGGGTCTCTTGCAGTTGGGGTTCATTATCAGATAAGACCTTGGGATTATTCTCTTTCAGCCCAAGAAGCTAGGATGGACACCAGTGGAGGGGCCCTGCCACAGTGGATGGTCAGTGTGCCCAGACAGGGACAGTCCACTGGGGCGAGTGATCCTGGTGGGAGCTTTTGTTGGTGCTCTCTAAGAGTGGTGTGCATGGTGCCCCTTTGCCGGCAGCCTTCAGGAGAGGGTTCTGGCAGCCAAGAGGATAAGGAGCCCTGAGTCCCTGTGGGCAAATGGACATTTGTCCTGTGCGTTGGACACTCCACAGGGCCTGCTGCTACCTTATGCCTGAACCCTCATGGCAGTGCTTTGGGGTTTGAATTGCTGTCCCCATTTGCCAGAGGCTGACACTGAGACTGAAAGGCGAGGTGACTTCCTGCCCAGGGCATCTAGCAGCAGCCCAGGGTCTCCCGGCTTCAGAACCCCAACTCTTCCCCACCCTGCCACAGCGCAGCAGCTCCCCCTCCTGCTCTTCCCCAAATGCGCGGGCCAGACTTCCTCACAAGAGACCTTGTTTTAGGTGCCCATCCAGCGCCGGCCTTCTGGCCCCCACAGCCTCAGAATGTGAGTCCTTCTACCTCGGTTGTCCCGGGAGCATGTTAGGGGTCTGAACATCTGAAATTGAGGAAAGGGGGCACCTGGCTGGCTCAGTCAGCAGAGCATCGAACTCTTGATCTTGGGATCGTGAATTCAAGCCCCACGTTGGGTACAGAGGTTACTTTAAAAAATAAATCAATAAAACGATTTTTACAAATAAATAAAATGGAGGGAAGGCCAGTGTCTGGGGTCCCCTCACCATTCCCAGTCCCCCCCCATTCCCTCATTGCCCTCCCACTTCTGATGGCGAGGTAATGGATCCCTCGAAAAGCCCCGGACAGTCCCAGCACTATCCAGTGAGTGCGGGGCTGTCGCAGCCCATCCCCAGGGGGCCAGGGGCCTGAGCAGAGCATGCAGAAGCTCAGGACACTGGGAGAGGGCAAAGGCTACAGATTTTTCCTCTGGATCACAATTACGGCACGGATGTGCCGGGATCTTTATATGGATCATCTTACTTGGCCCTCACAACAGCCCTGTGGGGTGTTCTTACCATTCCCCCAAAGAAGGAAGCAGAGGCTCAGAGAACCCCACGGCCAAGGTCATAGGACCAGGAAGTAATGGCTCAAACTCAGAACCAGGACTGCCTCCGTTCTCATCCTCTCCTCCGCCCTCTGAAGTTGTCCACATTGTCAGCAAATATGTCAGGCGGGTTCTGTGTGGGAGACTGCGCCGGGTCCTCAGGACGTGCCGGGCATTTGAGCTGGATCTTGATACCATGCGTTACCAGAGAAACGTGGAGCACCGGCCCCGACAGTGTGGGTTCTGTACCCACAGAGCACACTTGGGGTTCACGAGAAAGGAGAGGCCTCTTCCAGAGCAGACCTGTCACAAGGCCCCTGCATGCCCTGCATGGTCCGGCCTGCTCTCGTGCTGATCTTCTTATCTTCTCTGTTCTATTACCTTGAACCTGCCAATTCCATGCTGCCTCAGGTCTTCGTGTATGCACCTTCTTCTGCCTGGGGTGCTTCCCCATCCTGCCCTGCTCATCCTTCAGACCTCAGCATCAACGCGAACATCTTCCGAAAAGTTCTCCTGCCCCTGCACTCAGGAGATAGCATTTATCGCAACTAATTCAATCAGTGATGGCCGTCTTCCTAGCACCTGGCACATAGTAGTTGCTCAATAAATACTTGTTTTGTGAGTGACTACATGGGATCCCAGGAGAGAAACCACCCTCAGTGGAGTGGGAAGGCAGGAGGGCCTAGAGGGGGAAGGTGAACAGGAGATTCCCCAGAGCCACCAGTCCCTGACTCTGCTCCACTCTACCTCCTCCCCTGGGCGCCTTTGGAAGCCGACCATCTGGCTTGGAGGCTATTTGCATATTGTCTGGGCCTCAGCAAGCCTAGCAAGATGTCCCTGGGGGTGTGTTTCAGGCCAGGCCGAGTGGCCCTTGCAAGGCCTCCTTGCGAAGGGAGCAGCGAGTTCCACCTCTCCCCACCCCCCAAATCCAGGCATGGGGGAACAATACGGCGACCTCACCATGGAAACAGGCTATCAAGAATGTGGGCAGGCCTGGGGGGCACAGAGGAGGGAGGGAGTGACCTCAGCAAAGAGGAGCATCATGATAAATGAGCCCGTACCGACAGCAGACTCACCCCCCAGTCCACCCCTCTGGGACTCCATGATGGTGCCATCACTTGGATGACCCCGACATGACCACTATCCCTCCCCCCTCCCCCCAGCCTATCCAGAGTGGAGCAGAAGCCCCCCTCCTTTTGGAGGGAGTCGGGCCCTTAACCCAACTGGGTCCCGGTTCTGTACAGGCTAGCCGGGGCTGTGGAGTTGCAGCTGGTGGCCCTCGGGCCAGGCACTGCCCAGTGCCTCTCGTCTCCTCCACACACACAGGCACAGCCCCGCCTGCCACGGCTGGCTGATGGATGTGTCAGACCCCATCGGCTGTATCGAGCGGCCACAAGATGTATGGGCGGGCGGCCCACCAGACAGTGCCAAGATGGAGGCTAAAGGGGAGCCTCTGAGACCAGGCCTCGGGGAGGAACCCAGCCAGGAGTCCAAATGGACTGCAGCTAGTTAGAGGCTACACTCTGCATCCCCTGCCTGCTCCAGGGACCATGAGGACTCCACTCTGCTTTGTTTAAAAGCAGGAATTACAACTGAAAGGCGGCAGCCTCAGATCTTGGACACTTTGCCCATGGCCCCGTGCTCTGCTGGCGGACGATCCAGGGAAGTTGGCACAGAGCAGAGTGAACGGGTCCGCCCCGGGTGCAGCCTGCCTGCCTCTCAGGAGGGTGGCATGCAGGTCAGGGAGAATGCCTTAAAACCCTGCCCAAGGCTGGTTCTGTGGTGGAGACACGCTCCTGGGCCAAGACTGGGGCAGAGCGGAGCTTCTCGGCCAAGCAGCTTTTCCCTCAGCTGCAGGCCGGGGCTGTCACTCTGTGTGGAGAAACCAAGGCACTGCCTGGGCCCTTCTTCAGCTTTGCCTCTGAGCTCTGCTCAGGCGTGGGTCCAGGACAGCAGACCCCTGCGGGAGACTTAAGTCAGGATGGAGGTGGCTGGCCTCAAGGCCCTACGACTTCCTAGAGACTAGTTGTCTCCCCGGGGCCTTCAGTCCTCAAGTGGTCTCGAGGAGAGAAGGAACTGCAGCCTCAGGAGACAGTCTGTTGGAGGAGGAGACAGTTGGACATTTGAGGGCTGTAGGCTTTGAGGAGTTTATGGAGCCAGATTTCAGTGTGCTGTGGCCTGGGACCCTGTTCCTAGGAAAGGAGCGGTGATCCAGGGGACAGGTAGCTCTGAGCCTCCACATGATGTGCACAGAGCTCAGTGGCTGTCCCAGAACCCCAGAGTGGCTGACCTCAGTGTGCAAGCTGAGCAGGAGAGGCCCTCTCGATCCTGAACCTCTTGCCTATTCAGGGTGGTCGTCCCTGGCCTGGGGGGGGCTCTATGAAGGTGGGGGTAGCAGGGCAGTGATTTGTCAGCAGCCCTGGCTGGTGAAGGATCCTTCTCTCCCTCTGCCAGAGGAAATTAACTGATGTTATCGGCTCAGCAATTGTTTTTCTTCCTTCACAAAGGGAAATATATGCAGACCCCTCTGAGAGCAAAGCTGAGTCCTCCCCATCTGGGACTGGCTGGAGAGAGAAGGGTGGAGGGGGTCCTGCAGGGCCCTTCAGAAGCCTGTCTGTCTTGAGGCCCCGTCGCCTCTTTAAGCCTTGAGCAGCACCACTTTCTCTGAAGGCCTCTCTGGCAGGATGCTGGTCCCCTAGCCCCCTTCCTCACTCTGGGAATCTGCAAGTCCAGGGGCCTCAAGAGCCTGGCCTAAAAGAGGCCCCCTAAGCCCCATGTTCACTTCCTTCTGATCCAGGTAAGGCTCTGGGGGCCGGGAATCTTTGGGGTTTGACAAGAGCTTGTTCTGTGCCTTCCTCTCTAGGGGACATCCGGAACCTCCTTGTCTGGATCAAGAAGAATTTGCTAAAAGAGCGGCCAGAGTTGTTCATCCAGGGAGACAGCGTGTGAGTCCCTTTCTTCCCTTCCCTGAGGAGGGCAGGCGGGGGCAGGGTGGAAGGAGGTTTGAGCGCCTATCCTTGGGTTCACCCACAGCCTTCTTGGGGTCCTGTTCTCCCCCCTTTATCCTCCCTCTGTCTCTGGGCCTCAGCTACTCTCTCCATACAGGAAGTCCTGAGGAAAAGATGCCGCCCACAGCCCCTTGCATCCCTCGACAATCTGGGACTGTGGTTGTCCCGTAGAACTTTCTGTGATGATGGAAATGTGTATTCTGTGCTGTCCAGTGTAGTAGCTGCTAAGCACATGAGTCTGTTGAGCCCTAGAAATGTGAATAGTGCCTCATAGATACCGTACTGGAGGGCACAGGTCTAGAATTCCAGGGAGTCACTGTGCGCAGCTGCACACACGCAGGTGCACGTTCGTGCTCACTGGGGTGAGCACACCCCTGCCCCTAGCCCAGAGCTTTTGGACCTGTCCCAGACCTAGCCCGGCCTCCTGGGAAAAGAGCCACACACCCTGTCACAGCCAAGAAGTCACTCTGCTTTGACAAGAAGGAGGCCTAAGGTGTAAGAGAGGTGGGCAAGGCACTTGTGGGACCCAGTCACCATCCCCTTGCAGCGGAGGTCACCAGCAAGCCCTGGGGGCTAAGGTTGCCGTTCAAGCCCTGGCTCAGGTCACGGTCCAGCCGTCCCGGAGGCCACCACCCAAGGACAGTAGTGCTCCCTGGGCTGCTGCCAGGCGGGTAGCTGTCCAGATGTCAGCCTCCCATGCCTTACAGCAGGCAGGGCTGCCCTCGGGCATGTGGGTGCTTGAGGCCCCGGGCAGCCTTCCCTGATTCCGAAGAGCCAAGATAGCCTTGTCTCCGGGACGGGCCTGTGGGAGGCCCAGGAGGGTGAGGTGAGAGCCCTGGAAAACTGTGCTGCTGCCAGTGGTTACCGGGGTAAGACACAGGCAGGCAGGCGCCTGACACGCACCGTCCCGTCTCATTCTGACGCAGACCTGGGAGGACGGCTGCGTAATTTGTGCCATTTTCAGATGAGGAAACTGATGCTCGGAGAAACAAAATGAGTTGCCTGAGGTCTGGGAGGTGGTGCTGGAATTTGTACCCGTTTTCTATATCACCCCAAAAGCTACGACTGTCTGGCCTGGTTTCCTTTAGACTCAGTGTCCCCTCCACTTCCTGGGTGATTTTTCATCGGAACCTCAGGAGGACAAGCTCCCACTACCCTGTCCTCCAGCCCACGTGTCTCAGCCTCTCTGCCCCTGCTGCCGACTGCCTCCTGCCCTTCACTCCTGGCTCCTCACGCCCTCTTTCCCACAGGCGGCCAGGAATTCTGGTGCTGGTTAACGATGCGGACTGGGAACTGCTGGTCAGTACCGCGGGGGACCGTCCCTCCCCTCGCTGCTTCCCCAGGACAGCCTTGGGTCTTTTTCATCAGGCCCAGCGGGCTTGGCTGGCTAGTCCCGGGTCCCACTTGGTTTCCAAAGCGGGGCCACTCAAGTCTCCCACCCCAGGGAGGAAGGAACGGGTAGCTGGGGGAAGTGGTGTTCTCGCCTCCATCCTGAAGATTTGCAGGCTAATATGCAGGGCACCCATTTTTCTGGTAGATTTTATCCTTCTCTCCCAAAGCGACCAGGCCCCCTTCTGCCCTCCCGACAGCTGAGGAGAAGCCCCTGACAGTGTCCTCTCTCTCCTGGACCAGGGCGAGCTGGACTACCAGCTGCAGGACCGGGACAGCATCCTCTTCATATCCACGCTGCATGGCGGCTGAGGGCCCCGCTCTGGGCTCGGGTTCCCTTGGCGTGGGGAGAAGAGCACAATCAGACATCCCCTGGGACCCTGCTTCCAGGTCTCCCTGTCCCCCTTGGCCGCTTTCTTCCCTGCTCTGTCCCCCGAGCTCCCTCCAGGCAGGGAAAAGAGGCCAGGTGCTAAAAATGAGCCTTTCTCAGGCACGTGAGTTGGGGCGAGCAGTCTCAGCCCTGCCTCCCTCCCCAGCAGCTGAGGTGGGGGAGGGTGCCCCTCTGCTTTGTCACAACAGGAGGGCGCTCCCTGGCCAGGTGACCCAGCTGCCTTCCGCTCCTTGTGTCTCAGTGTAAACACCGAGTGACCACTGACGAGGCGCTCCAGCTCCCGGGCTGTAGTGTCTTCGTGGGGAAGATGAATGGACAGGAATAGCTGATGGGAAACCCCTCCCTTCTCCAAGATGGGAGGAGTCTCTGCCTCAGTTTCCCCATCTAGACAGCAGAGGGCTCTGGCTGTCCCCCACTGATATCATTATGGAACCCCAGCTGGGGTCCCCTATTCAGTGCTGACTCCCCCCTCCCAGCAGCTGCTCTTCCAACCACACCCTCCTCCTGCCCCCCCATCCCCAGCCCTTGACCCTGGCTGGCCTTCCCCCCCACAGGCCACCAGATGGGCTCCTAAGACCCTCCCCCGGCAAAAGGCTGCCTGCAGCTCATTCTGGAGAGAGAGAAAGAGGAGCCAGCAAAAGCTTGGACTGGCACATAGAGGCCTGGGATGTCAGAGTGCCTCAGTTTCCTCCTCAACAGCAACTGAATATTTATAAGTATCTGAAAGTAGGCGTGATCCTTGATGGCACAAATGTAGACTTTATCTCCTATCCCACCTCCTGCAGGAAGCAGGATGGGGGCAGGCCAGCACCTGGTAGGCAGGATGGTTTGCCCCTCCTCCCTTCATCCCTTCTGGAAGTCTTGGGGCCTCATTGCCTGCAACAGCTGGCCTTGGGCAAATAAAAGACTAGGTTGTTTACTAGCTTTGCCTGGAGCTTCATCCTTAGAAACCAGTGGCACTCCACATCCCCCCAGCCATGGTCCCTGGTCCAACCTCTCTGCCCTTAGCCTGGGACTTTCAGAGCTGCCCTTCACCCAAAAAGAGGGCAGGGGTTCAAACCCAGACTACACAGACTGTCTGGGAGAGAGTGGTCTGATAGGGCCATCTGGAGAAGGGGATGGCAGAGCCTGTCTGTGCTGACCAGTCTGGGTCCCAGGACACTTCTCTTCTTGTCCAAGGCCAGGCTTTGTCCCACCAGCTGCAGCCCACAGCCCCAGAAACCAGAATGGGGTGTCATATCAAACTGCTGAACCTCCCTTCCCATGACCTGGAGAAGAAGCTTCGCTGGGGGAAAACCTCAAAAAAAAGGGGGGGGGCATTAACATCATCCCACCCAAAACATTGTTTTTCATTAAATGTCAATAATTTAAGGTAGAACCTCTCTCCTGTGGAGATGAAAGTGCCAAATGGTTGTCTCAGCAGTGTTGGGGATGGAGGGGATGTATATGCACATCATTCTCAATGCCTAGAGGACACACGACCCCTGGCTTCTGGGCTTCTCTCCAGCAATCTACGGGTAGAGACTCTCTGGGTATGTGTAGGTGGGGGCCAGCCATGTTGGGGTTATGGGTAGTGGGTATGGTCTGAGTGCAAATTAAGGCCAGTGTTGGGGTCCAGCTGCTGTCTAGAAAGGCTGTTACAACCAACGAGAACTAGGTGCTGAGGTTAGGGTCTCCATGTTAGGGAACAGAGCAAGGGATTTGAAATGGCCCCCTACAGTCTCATTGATTCCTGTATCCTGGAGGTTCCTCCTTGCCTCCAGCCCCACTGGAGTGGCCCATTGTCCCACCTGGGATTCCAAGTCCTGGAAACCAGACGATAGAATTCCTTTCCCGCCTGCACTGGGAAGAGGGAGAGTAGATTCGGGATACCCCTTCTGCCAGGACACCCCGATTAATGCTGAGGAGTAGGGCAGGAGGATATACTGAGAAAACCAGGTTCTCCCGGGTGGGGGGATGCCAGCACCATCGCTAAACTGGCCCAAGCCCCGCTCCGCAGCATTTTGGGTCATTTTCAGTCCCTAGCGGAACGGGGGTCAGATACAGGTGACCTGGGCTCAGCCCCAGCAACGCCCAGCTGCCCCCCCACAACTCCTGAACCCCCACTTTTGAGGAAATAAACGAATAAGTAAACCCTACTATCTCCGAAGATTTGTCTTTAATGAAAAGGATTCGTTTGTCCAAGTTGTTTCCAAAGCCGAGGCGATTGCCCGGCTGGAGCGCATCATTCCCGACGCTTCTCCGACTCCTGACTCCTGCAGCGGCTGGAGGAGGCTCAGCCCATCGGTCCGTCTGGAGGGGCTGGCGGGAGGGGTCGGTTTATTTGGGATTTAGGGGTTGGTTTAGGCTTTTTTGTTTGGGGGGCATTGGTGGGGGCTAGGTTAAAACCAATTCAAAACGAATTAGCGAGCGCGTTCCGCCGGCATCTTCTTTCGCCCGCGACTTGCTGCGGCTCGGGCCGAGGGCGGGCTCCCCGGACCACAGTCATGCCCCGCCGCGGCGTGCCAGCTTCGTTCCCGGCCGAAATTTGAAAAAGGGAAAAACGACGCGATCGACTGGAGGCCCGCGCCAGCCACGACTGGTCACCCGCGGAGGAGGAGGAGAAGGACGACGACGACGAGGGTGAGGATGGCGGCGCTGGTGGCAGGGACCGGCGTCCCTCTTTTGCGCGCCCGGCTGGGGCCGCGATCCTCGCGCTGGGGCCAGCCAGCCGCCTCCCCGAGGGGTCTCGCCCGCGCCGAGCTCGGTCCCTGCGGCTTCCGCCCCTGTTGCGCCCGGAGCTCAGCCACAGATGTCCAGCCACAATTCTCGGTTGGCCGCAGACTCGTACAAGAATTGCGTTTGGACAATCAGTGGCGAAGCCCCCGAGTTCGGGGCCCCGGTTTCCTGCGTGCGGGCTTCCGCTTGGCTCCTTAAAAGCGCCGGACCAGGAGATCTCCGGAGCTGCGCGTCCGACTACCTCGCAGACGCTCAGCGGTCGCGCCCCATCCCGCGGTAGGTGGACGAGCAGGCACGCGGATCCCGACCCTGCGTGGGGATCCCCATCGCCCCTGGCGTGTGTCTCCTTCGATCGCGGCCCGGGGTCCCTAGAGTAGCCCGCGTTGGGTCTCTGCGCCGCCCTGAGTCGGGGGAATCTCCTCTGTCAGGGCCGGGGAACCCCAACTCCCCTCTCCCCGCCCCCAGCCTGGGCTCCCCGGGCTCGCCGGGAATCCGGAAAGCAGGGGCCCGAGGCCGGGTCGCGTTTCCGAGCCCGGGGTGCGGGCTGCTGGACTCGTGGGGTCCCCGCCCCCGCCCAGCCCCGCACGCACCGGCTCCGGCGCTCTCCGCTTCCCTGTGGCTGAGTTGCGGCCGGCGCCCGGCGGTAGCGGTGGCGGCGGTGGCCCGGGCGGCGGGAAGCGCTGGAATGCGCCGCCGGGTCACCTGCAGCGCCCGGGGAGCCGGGCTGGGAGCCGGCGGGCTGGCGAGGCGCAGGGCTGAACCCGAGCGGGCGCCTCTGGCGGCTCGGGGCCGGGGCGGGCTTTTAGTGGGCCGCTCCAACAATACGGGCCTGGCGCGGAGAAAGGGGCTCGGCTGCAATTGGTACTGGATTTGAATAACGCCACGGGGCCATCAATGGTCATTGTGTCGGCGGGTAATGAATCTCCGCTGTCTCTCGGGCTGGCCAGGCAGCTGCAACCTGCGCTCAGGCAGCTCTTAAAGACATAGCGTGCCCCTCCCCGGGGGCGCCCCCCTCCCCTGCACCGGCCGGACCCCTCGCCCTCCCACCCCCACCCTGGGCCCTAGACTCCCAGTGCCCCGCCTGCTCCCTTGACTGAACCCTTTGCCCATCGCCCCCTCCCTTGTCCTGGACCAGACACCCGCATCTCGGCGCTACACTCCCATGGACCTGACTCAGACCCCCTGGCCTTGGCTGAGCTCCCCAGGAGTGCCCAGGGGACCCCAGAGTCTTTTCAGGCCCAATCCTGGCCTCCCATCTGCAGCTAACCTGAGGCCTCCGGAGCCCTCCTTCTTTAAGCTGCTGCCCTAGGGACTTCTAGCTGGCGGGTGAGGGGGAACAGTCTGGAGGTCAGAGGGTCACCCCCTTAAAAGGCTCTGCTGAAGGATAAGGGAGGAGGGCATGCAGTCCCAACCCCCAGGCTGAAGATGCCATCTCCAGAGACCACACCCCCACTAGGGATCTGGAGACTGCCCTCTCCCCAGACCAAGGACAAGGGCTTGATTCCCAGGATACCTCCTGCAGGCTTCTGGATACCTCAGCTCTGGCAGGGGGCAGGGGGCGCATGGGGGTGGGGGAGCAGGGGGAGGGCGAGAGGGGCGTGAATGCTATTAATGCTTGTCTTGTCATGTCTCTTCCACTGGACAGCCCACTGTTTTGGGAGGCTTGGGGCTCTGTCTAGGTCTGATGTGCCCCCCACCCCCAGCCCAGCCAGGTCTGGCGCAGAGAAGGTTCTCAGTCAGCTGGGGGAATACATACCAGTTTCTCACCCGCAGAGCTCAGCCTTTCTTTCCCAGTGAAGCTCACACCCTGGTGGGGAGTGCGTGGCCATTCCACCCATACATCCTGCCTTCCTCCATCCACCCTAGGGATCCCCAGACACTCAGAGGACCCCTGTCACCACCCTGAAATCCTCTCCTCTCCCCATAGTTTGTGGGCCGCCTAACTATGTGCACACATTGGATTGTGATCATTGGTTTGTCTGTACTCATCAGACAAGAAGTGGATCCTACTAATCTTCAGGCTTCTGGAGCCTAGTAACAGTGCCCCCCCCCCACACACACACACCACCCATCGTTGAATGTCCATGAATATCCACCGGTGGCTTAAACATGAATCACACACACTTCTTGGAGTTTCTTACAAAAAGTTGAAAAAAAATACGACTTCTGGGTAGTAGTACTTGAAGTCGGGGTTTCGTAGCAAGAGAGCCCTGCTAACCAGGTCCCAACTCTTGGGAATGTGCCATCTGCTAATAATAATAGCCACAACAAAATGCTTGATGTGCCAAGCACTAAACACTTTTAAGGTAGTAGCCTGTGGTCTGCTCACAACAACCCTGAGAAGTGGGTACTATTAGCAGCCCCACTTTACAGATGAAGAAACTGAGACCTGTGGCAGTGATGTTGGTAGCCGTTAGCCGGCAGGCGATGGAGCCAGAGCCGGAGCTCAGGGCTGGGGAACTCACTGCCCACTGGTTTCCAGCCTTTACTCACCACAGCAGAGATACTGAGGGAACCTGTGGAAATGCATATGCAAAGTGGCAAGACCCAAAAGACACCCGCGTCTTCTTATAAATCCAGACCCAGCCCCAGCCCCGGCCCAGTCTGACAGGAACACAACCTTGACTGGAGCTGGCCAGTGTGGTCTCTGCACCGGTGCCGAACTCCCAGGCCTCGTCGGAAAGCCACATTCTACAATCTAATCTACACTTTCCACCTCCGGGGTCTGTCCGAGCTATTTAAAGCCATCAGTCCTGGGCAGAGAAGGGTCAATTGGCCTCATCCTCATCCTCAGGGAAACTGAGGAGCCAAGAAGGGTCTTATCGCTCGCGAGTCATTGAAAAGATATTTCTGGAATGCCTACTGTGTGCTGGCGCGGGATTCAGCAATGGGCAGTGTCCCCCAGAGGCAGACCAGCGGAGGAGGAGACCCCAGTCCCCTGGGAGTGGGGAGTTGGGCACCGTTCCAGGCAGGGGGCATGGCACGCCCCAAAGCTAAGGAGCGAGGAAGACCTGGGAGAGTGGGAAGGGAAGTGCGGAGAGGAAGTGCCAGATAAAGCCGAGGTTGACCCTGCCGGGGGCCGTAGGACATTGGGAGGATTTGTGATTTTATCCTAAACACAGTGGGAGTCCTGGAGGGTCTGACACATTCAGATTTACATTTTTAACGGTTTGCTGGGGCTGTTGTGTAGACAACGGGGGTGGGGCTGGGGAGGGGGCAGGCTGGACGACAGGAGACCCATTGAGCTACTATTGCTGGTTTGCAGGTGACAGCCGGTGTTGGCCTGGGATTAGGGGATGGCCGAGCAGGGTCCCAAACTGTGTCCTCGACAGGCAGGTGACCTCAGGTCGCCTGGCAGTGAATGGCATTTAGTGAGTAGCTGAGGTGTACTTTGTGTGCTGGAGGCTGGGGGGAGGGCGAAGAGAAAGATGGGCCCCCTGCTGTTACCTCTCCGGAAGTATCCATTCACTGGACAAGTGGGCAGGCACACAAATAGCCAGCCAGCCCCCGTGAAAGGGGCAGGAAATCTCTCTAAGTGAAATATTAGCAGAGCTATGGGGGATTATAGAAGACCAAGCAATTCATTCCAACAGGACCTGAGGAATCTTCTGGGAGAGGCAGCATTATTTTGGGCAAGTGAATTCCAATAGACTAAACTGAAATCTAGTTACTGCCTCTGTGAAATGGGGCCGTTATGCCTGCCCTGCCTCCTTAGAGATGGTTGTGGTGTTGGGAGAGTCCAAACACACACCTTGCATTCGCTTGCAGTAAGATTTTATCATTGCCTCCTAGCACAGACACACACACACACACACACACACACACGCACGCACGGATACATGTTCAGGCTCATGCATGCATTCAGCTATTGTAATTTCTGCTCTACCTTCTCCTTTATTAAGACCAACCCAGGGGCGCCTGGGTGGCTCAGTCGGTTGGGCCTCTGCCTTCGGCTTAGGTCATGATCCCAGGGGCCTGGGATCAATCCCCCCCGCGTTGGGCTCCCCGCTCAGCAGGGAGTCTGCTTCTCCCTCTATCTCCCTCTCCCTCTGTGTGCTCGCTTTCTCTCTCTCTCTCTAATAAATAAATAAAATCTAAAAAAAAAAAAAAAAAGACCAACACATCAGGAAGGAGGTGACAAAGTTGTCTACACTGCCCATTAAGCATGCCCTATCCTCCAGGACTGTCATTTTACCAAACACTGCCCAGCACAAAGGACACGCTCAGTAAACGCCTGTTGAATGAATGATTGAATGGGTGCTTTATTGGAGGAACAATTAAATGAATAGGTGGATGGACAGACAGATGATGAAAAAACAGTTGTTAGGGCGCCTGGGTGGCTCAGTTGGTTAAGCGACTGCCTTTGGCTCGGGTCATGATCCTGGAGTCCCGGGATCGAGTCCCGCTTCGGGCTCCCTGC